GTGTCTGCTGTACCTCTTCTGGCGGGGCCAGCCGCCACGTGTGGCTCTGCCCATCCCTGACCCAGGTTTCCCCGTCCCCGCTGCTCACCAGCACGGTGTCAATGGCTGGCAGGTTGGAGGGGGGCCGGGTGAAAGGTGGCAGGCGGGTGGGTGGCAGTGACCCCCCCGTGAAGATGCCAGCCTGGACACAGAACTGCACCTGGCAGCTATCGCTGATGAGTGCCAAGTGCTGGCTGAAGCCTGGGGGGCAGCTCTTGGTGTAGGGGTCCTCAGCAGTGCCCTGGTGCTGTCCTGCCAAGGGGTTCCCTGCCTGGCAGCTGAAGAATCCCCCAAAGGGCACTGCGTACTGGCTGCCCTCCTCATAGTCCTGGCTTACGCACACCCTGAGCTCATCAAAGAGCTTCAGAGGGAAGAACCCCGAGGGGCAGGACTGGGCACCAGTGATGGAGTTGGCACTGTGGGCACTGAACAGCCCTCCAAAGAGATATCCTGAGTTTGGGGCTACTGGGCCACTTGCAGCACACCAGTAGGCACTGAATTGCACCCGGGAGAGCCAGAAAACATCCCGGCACTCACGGTGGCAGAAGATGCCCAGGGTGCACTTGTTATGGCACTCCAGGTGGCTGTGACCTTCCTCCCGCTCCTGCGTACCCAGCAGCACTGGTGTGTAGGTGGTGGGGCAGGAGAAAGCCCCAGTGAGGGGGTTCCTCTGCTCCAGCTCCCGGCACAGCGAGCTGGCGTCAGGGCCTGCCAGCCCGGCACACTCCTGGAAGGCTCCCCCAAAGGTGAAGTTGTTCATGGCCCCTTTGCAGGAGCCATCATCAGCGTTGGCATGGAAGTTGAAGTTGGGCGAGGTAGCATCCGTGCAGCCCGGGTAGGTGTTGAAGGTGTAGTAGCGGCGGATAGCCATCTCCACTCGCCTGGCCAGCTTCTTCACTGTGGGGGTGGGCAGCTCTGGCAGGGTGCTGGGATTGATGAAGAAGTACAGGGGCAGCCCTGAGCGGTCAAGAGCCACCAGCTGGTCTCTGGTCCTCTCCTGCCAAGTCTTGAGGGTGATGCCTGGGTAAAAGGGTGTCCCGCCAATGCTCTCTACCCTGGAGCTGGTGCGGTTCTCCAGATACTGCTTGGTGAACCCAGAGCTGATGTCCAGGCTCTCATCAGTTTTCATATTGATGATGCTAAGGAAGGCCACGCCAGCTGAGGCAGTGACAGCACTCCGTGTGGCCCAGCTGTCCCTCAGGAAGGTTGCCTTGATCTGATCCTCCTGCACCAAGCTGGCCCCAGCATCCACAGAGGTGATGGTGTGGGTGCCATAGTTTAGCACCAGCACTTCGGCCAGAAAATCAGCCATCCGTGTCTGGTTGTTCTCTAGGTGGCTGGCAATCATCATCAGCTGCTTCTTGAAGCCTTTGTCCAGGGCAGCCCCTGGGTTGATTTTGGCAGTGTAAACCAGGTTCCTGACTTGCACTCGGGTGGTTACAGCATAGTCTTTCACTTGGTGGGTCTTGGTCCGGCGGAAGTCATAGGAGAACTTGCCATTGATGGAAGAGAAAAGGGACAGCTCCAGGTTGATGGAGGCAGAGGTGATGCTTTGATAATTTTTCCAGGACTCAATGATCTCGGAATTGATGTCCAGGTTGCTCTGCTTGCGAGGGATAGTGAAGATCTCATCTGGAATGATATAAGATCCGTCTTCTGTGGTCTTGCACAGCAAGTAGCTCAGGTTGATGACTCTGCCCATGTCCAAATTCCTGAGGTTATCCCAGCCCCCTCCTGGCAGGACTTCTAGACTTGTGAGCTTCAGGGCCTTCTTACACCCCAGAAACCCTGCAGAGGGGTACTGCTCCTGGGCCT